GCTGGAAAGGCCCCCCTCTGCGGGTTCCTCGGGGGGGGGGGGTGCCCCCAGCCACTGCATGCAGGGTCCATTAAGGCTGGACTGATGGCATGGGTGAGACAGAGATGCCCCCCCCATGAGCTGTGTGAGGATCCTACAGCTGGGGCGTGCCTGGGCAGCTTTGCCATGGGGGTGAGGAGGCCTGAGCTGCTTGTGGGGCAGGGCATGGCCAGGCCCCACGGCTTGATCTGCGCTCGTGGCCGCACTGGGCATTTGCATAGCGAGAATGGTGCACATGGGGAGATGCCCCCCCAGGGCACACAATGGAGGGGGTTGGGTGGCAGCAGCACTGGGGGAAGGGAGGGGGCGCAGGCATGGCCCTGCTGGGATGACGACATCCCCCATGACATCACACGAGCAGCCCTGGATCCATGACATCGCGCCGGCCTGCTCATGACATCACCAGCCACCTCGTGATGCTGCCGCTGCTGCGCAGTGACATCAGCAACCCTGCCCCCGGAATCTGCGGACCCATTAACCCTTCCCTGGCCAGGCTGGGGCCATGGCATGGAACTGGGGAGGGGGGAAGTCACAGTATTAAGCCCTCAGGGTGGGGCTGCGTATATATATTATATATAGATATGTATAGGTACTTTACACAGGACATGCCATTCACGGGCCGGGGGTCGCCAGGGCCCCCCTACGAACATGGAGCTTAGAGACTGCGGGATTGCTCGGTGCCCCCTCGCCCCCCCAGATGGAAGCAGCTGTGATGGGGGCGGGGCTTTGTGTAAGCTCCTTGCTCCCTCTCACTGAAAACCAGACAAGATTCCTTTTGGGGATCCTGTGACTCCCAAAATTCAGGGGTCCCCCCTGGCTCCCTGGTGGCCTCTATGCTGTGTATGCCCCCCCCCTCAGTGCCCCACCCCGTTCTTCTCCACGGCCGCAGGGGGTGGGACTTGTGGGGCAGGGCCCCCTCCCGTCACCCCCCCACCAGGCCCTTCCGGGGGGGGGCCAGCCCATTCCTGGCACCCTCAGGGCCGGGGGCTTTGGGGGAGGGGGGCTTGGCTCGGGCTCCCAGCGAGGTGTGTTCCTCCACCACCTCCAGGATCAACTTCCCCTTGGGGGAGCCGGCCTGGTTCTGGGGGCGCCTGGGGGGGT